ATACCCTAGGGTTTTTTGCTGGATGGATTCTGGACCATTGGATCTCCATCTAATCGTGCGGTGGAGAGCTGTGTAGCACTGGATTAGATATGAAACCCTAACTACTTGTGGGGCTTCTCACATGGCTCGCTGAATCTGGGTCTGGACGAGTTTTGGCTTGCATCTGACTCGGGCTTGGGCTTGGTTATAATCGGGTCTGTGTGTCTTACTTTGTAACCGGGCCTTCGGCCTTTATAAATAATAATATTTATAATATAATATTATTATATATAATATATATATATATATATATATATATATATAATATATATAATAATCATCACTCGGACGAAAACGATGTCGACAGTTGCCACTCTTTGCTTATTTTTGTGTAAACAAGAATAAAACAAAGATAATAAGACAAGTTTTCTTCGAGTGAACGTGGTACTTTGCTGGGAATTCGTTCCACTACTCTTTCGTGGAGATTGAATTTTGATTTGATCATGTTCCTGCTTCACTACTCCTCTGTGAAGATTGAGGATGACTTTGCAAATGATTTTCTTCATTACTCTTCTGTGAAGGCTGAATTTGCATGACTTCATTACTCTTTCATGAATGCTTCATACTTTGCTGAAAAATACGTTCCACTACTCTTCTGTGGAGACTGATCTGGAATGACTTGAACATAATCTGTTTCACTACGCTTCCGTGAAGTTCAGACTCAAACTTGGATTGTTTCACTACTCTTTCGTGAAGGTTTCATACTTTGCTAAAAATCCGTTCCACTACTCTTTCTTGGAAAGAAAAATTTGATTTTCTTCTTGTTTTTTCTTCACCACTCTTCCGTGAAGTTTGAAAATGATTGACTTGACAAGAATATAATTTCACTACTCTTTCGTGAATATCAGATTAATTTGATTCCACTCTCTTCCGTGGAGGTTTCAAAAATGACTTTAAGGATTCACCATCTTGCTTGAAAGACTTATAGATGACCCAAAGGATTTACAAATGACCCGAAGGTTTTACAAATGATCTGGAGGCTTTAATTTTCTAGAACATTAAATGAGAAACTTTGAAAATCGCTTTCTCGTTTTCAAGATAACTTGTTGGTTGGACATGCTCCAATATTTCCTCTCTATGGATTGTGTTCATCTATTCTTCAGATGTTTGCCTCTCCAAACATGGCTCATGTATCTGTGATTTGGATTCTACCTTATACTCGTAAGGTATTTTATCCCTGCATTTTCTTACAAAAATGTATTTATGCAAATGCAATAAAATATATCAATGAAATGCATGATCTTTATGCAAATGTTGTTCTTATGAATGTATGAATATATCAATCTTCATCTGAAGTTTGATCTTTTCCTTTTGATTATCTTTTTTCAGGGTTTACTTTGATCCTTAGTGTGGCAATTTATGCTTTCAAGCTTGCATTTCCAAAGAATCTTCTGATCATCTTGTATCTTTGTATATTCTTTTGCCTTTAGAATAATTGTTTCATTTATGGGGCTTTTTCCATACTTAGAATTACGACCTTGTTACCCCATTTTGTCCTTGATAAAACTAGCTGTCTTTGTCTAAAATTTAGTAGAAATCCGATAAAGCTTTCATCTTTGGATAAAGAATCTATCATATTTGGAAAGGGAATGTACCATCATTGCAGAATATAGATATCAATATGCTAAACCCAACATAGATTAATCAGGATACCAACTACGTCTGTTCTGATTTGACTCTTGAAACACATCACAAGAAGGATTTATCCTAATTCCTTTCATGTCTCCACATCTAATCAGATCTCAAACAAGGTTCTTTTTCAAACCATATTATGTCAAAATGCTTAACAACAACCTATCATTCAATCTTAGTTGGCTCCATTAGTTTCTTGTTGTTAAAGTTCCAACATTCAATCGTGGAGAGAAACCTTCTTTATTTCTAACTTCTGACCTTGGGAATGTGAAGATAAACTTTATCATGTGTCAACAGATAGAATGCCCCATGATCGCAACATTGGTTCAACACCATAATTACTGGTTCGTAAAACATTTGACAATACATTCATCATTTCCTGTGGCTTATGTAGGGATGATGTAATCGCATGGTAGACAAAAGAGTAATGTATAGTCAACTCGATTGTCATTGTTTCACCATTTTCATTCTTCATACCTTTCTACTTTAGTGGAAATATTTACTCTAGAATGATAAGGGTCCAGCATGCCCTAGCATTTTACTAATACAAATGCTACTGATGTGATTGATACCCAGTTGGATCATTTTTGTCTGAAATGTACCTTCATCATTCCCCAGTATTCTAAGTTGTAATGATTACTCTTAATGTCCATTCATGCTTCTAATGAGGTCTAGTTTTGATAATGCACCATTGTGGATACTCATGGCTTGATTCGTGCTAAATCTCTTTATTTTGAAGGCTCTCATTCTTTCTTATAAATGAGGTGATCATCTTTTCTTGACAAGTTGTCACACAGGGAATATTATAAGTTCATTTCCCCAGACTTTTGATTTCTCAGATCACTTGCTTTCAAGAATACGAATTGCTTTTCTCATTCTGGCCTTGCTTATTCTTTTTCTACAAAGGTAGAATAAACATCAACTTGATCCAAGTCCTGTTTAAAAATGTTCTTCCTCCTTTCTTATCAAAGAATGAAAGAATTTTGTAAAATATTGTCCCTTACAGATTCACAATAGAATCAAATCATAAGCATGAATTTAGGGAATATCAAAAGAATCAAACACTTTTACTATTTTAGAGTTATAGTTCTTTGACAAGAATCAAGATTGAAAGGTTAGTTTCAGGTTGGCTTTCCTATTTTCTATGGTTATATCTTAGTGAAGATGCCACTCTTCTCTCACTCTTTTGTGAACATTGTCACATGCCTCACTTTCTTGACTTGGTATCTTTAATCGGATGCGTACAAAATAACACAATCTAGTATAACAGTTACTAGAACTTCTAAAGTATTTCAATTTCAATTATCTGAAATCCTTGATTCTATCCAAAGTAGTGTGAAAACATCGATCTAATAATGAGATTTTTGTGGGTATGTGTGAAGTAGACTATAACAGGTATTTATTTCACTTTTTTACAATGACTTCTTTTGCTATTTTGACTAACTGAATTCAACTTTATTGACATTAGCCATCATTGGGCTAATTGAAACTTATCCATAAAGCCAGGGCTATGAACCAATTGCTCTAGAGAGATGACTCTTACTTCTTTAAAAGAACCTGTTATAGTCTATGTGTTTGGTGGAAAAAATCTCATTACCAAATTTCAATTTACCAGTAGCTGACTCAGATTAGAAAAAGTTTCATCGTCGAGTCTCATCAATGGAAAATAATCTACTTAGATTTGCAAGGGTACAAAAGATGTTCCACCCTTTATGCTTCTAAATATCAATACCAAGCCTTTCGTCTAATTCATTGCTTTGGAGAAGGCTCTCTCATTTATGTGGGAGGGTAGTGTTTGGGATGTATTTCTTCTGAGGTAAGGTCAGGATCCTTTTCTTTCTGGTTTTCAATCTTGATACTTTTACCAAAAATATATAACTCTGTTTGTGAAAAGCTTTTAATCTAATGATATTCAAAGAACTACAAGATTGCAAAATTGATTCAATGCTCATAACCTTAAAAGCATCATATTTTTATTTCAAAAGGCGGAGAAATGAAAAAAAACATGTTCAAACAAGATGCTACAAAATGAAAAGTACAATAGTGGTAGATAACAACTTCCACTGCCTCATTTTTCCTTATATGTTTGATGTATAATCAGACCAGGATCTTTATCTATATTTGTACCCCATTCCTTGATCATTTCTTGGGTAGCTTCTTTGGGAGAGCAAATCTCAACTTTCTCTTGAGCTATCTCTTGATTAAATCCCATCATTATCTTTCTGGACTGGAAATTGAGCTCAGTTTGAATTTAAAAACAAATCTCTTTGATGGTAATAGTTGTATCCTGGTTCTGGATGTTTCTTATAGTAACATTCACTAAATTTCCCCTTGCATCTCTTGATTTCAAAAGATTTGATAGAGGTGTCTCCAAGATTGTATCTGTCTTGCTTCTTTTTAAACCTGTAGGCCAATCTCGGATTACCTTTCACTTTGTTTTTTCATTTCTTATTCTTGTATCATCTCTTAGCTTGAAAGAAGTATCGAGAGTTAAATCTTCTATACATACTTCATCTTCTTGTGCTTTGTCTGATCCTCCATTTGTTTTGACATTATCAACTTCATTCTTGGGGTTGACTCCCAAATGTTTGATCAAAATGGATTGACTGTCGGCATCCACTTCTATAATTCCATGAGTCAGAAGATCTTGAACTTGTTGTTTGAAGTTACCACAATTTTCGATGGAGTGTCCTCGGATTCTAGCATGATACTCACAAAAGACCTTTTTATTATACCATCTTGGGTAAGGAGGTACCAAAGGTTTAGCCTGACATGGAGAAATAAGCTGGGCTTTATGTAATTTGGCATATAACTTGCTACATGAGATTAAAGGAAAACATGGTAGATATTCCCTTGATATGACCGTTTCTTTACTATTGCCTTCTTAAAAATGTTTGCTTTGAATGTCTGACTTTTGATCAACGTCTTGAGAGAGATGACTTGAAAATTTCTCTTTCCCAATCAGCTTTGAGTTTCTGAGGAGCTTAGGTTTCCCTTTTTCAAAACATAACAACCTTTCTGCCATAAGGTCTTGGACTTTTAATTTTAGCATTATGCAATTTTCTGTGGAATGACCAAAATCTCTAGAATGATAATTGCATGGATTCTTGATATTTTTCCAATTTAGATGCAAATAAGTACTAGGAGGGATGGGAGTTACAAGACCACTTTCAAAGAGAAAGGGTAACAACTCTGAATACAAAATGGGAATTGGAAAGAAATGTGTCATCATTTTTTCTTTCTTGCCTTTTTTTTTATCTATTTTCAATAGGACTTGCTCCATGTTTCTCTTCTTAGAACCAACTTCAATGTCCATGTTATCTGTCATATTTCCTGATCCGTAAAAATGGGTTGGATTTCTATATTCCACAACAGGTTCTTGGTCATTTTTCATATTGAAATCCATACTTTTTCCTGAGGCCTTCATTTTTTCAAGCTCAATAGGGTCTTCTAACATTTTATCCCCATATAGTAGAGTAACCATCATACCCATCATCTCAGACATTTTTTCCCTGTACTCAGCTTGGAACATTCTTGTTTCTTTAACCATTTCTCGTTGGACTTCCTCAAGTTGTTCTTGGATTCTCTCAATCCTTCCAACTCGAGCTAATATTCCATTCATTGCTTTCAATCCTTTTTTTAAGACATGCCCTTGATTTTTAGAACTCCTGATTCCAAAATCTTTCACTGATTACTCTTATGTGATGTTTATGCAAAGAATGAATACAAATATAAATGTAAATGCATGTATGAAAGAGTGTAATTCAAGAGTAATTATCTTAAAACAATTTTCATTGAACACAAAAGGGTTTTTTAATACATCCAAAGGTCATTACATATAAAGGATAGCTTTCCCTCCTAATTTCTCTATCTCCTTAAAAGGCCAAGTTAACTTCCATTTATGCTCTAGAATTAGATTGTCATCCTGCTTCAGCTCCCTTGTAAAACCAGCTAAGTTCACCAGCTTGTGGGCTACCTTGCCTGCTTGAGCAGCAGCTTTCTTCAAGTCATTATTTTTTTCTTGAATCTTGCCTACCATTTCTCAAAGTTACAGATAATATTGTTCATTTTCCTTTATCAAGGAACCTTTATGTTCAAGAAGTTCTCGTACCAGATCTCCATATTCATCCACCATTTTCAGCAATGTATGGTTTTGAGCTCTAATAGATTTTAATTCAGTATTAATCTCACATTGATGGATCAAATATGAAGTTTCCATGTTGTCTATATCCTTCTTCAATATCTGGTTTTCAGCTTGACATTTCTCCAAATTGGTAATGGATGCATTGTATATTTCTTCAGTAATTTGAAAGTCATAGGATAATTTCTTTGTTTGATCCTCATGTATCTTTTTTCAGTGCTCAACATCACTCTTCAGTTTAATGATTTCTGTCATCCATTCTTCAGGGGTGTTTCCTAGTCCAACATCTTTGAAGGTTTGACTGACTTTTCGAAAATCATCAAGCATGGCTTCAACCTCTGTGTTCAATTTCTTGTTTTAGTCTTTCCAAAAATGAGCTTGAGCTTCATAAAAATTCTCTTCCCTATGATTGTTCTTATTGATGCTCTTACCATAAAAAGCTTTCGGTATCAATCTAACAGGATTTTTATGTTTATATCCCTCCATTATTTTAAAAGCTTCCTTGAGATATCATTCCTTGAGATATCCTTCTTTGACTGCTTCACAGTTTACTTGATTATGAAACCTTTTGTCCATAATGAAAAACTTTGATAATCACTCTTGAATCAACACCCTTGGGTATGTTATGATTATGCAAATGAAAACAGAATAATTAACATGTGCATTTTCAGAATATATACAAAAACTGGTTAGTAAGAAAAAATCATACCCTAACCTCATGTTTTCTAGTTCCATGCTTTGTTTGGAAAAATAACCTAACTGCATGATGTCTAGTTCGCATGCATTTATTCAGAAAATAAATAATAATAAATAAAATAAAAAGAATCATGCTTTTTCTTTGTGTACTAATCTTACAAAACTCATTCAGTTTAGGCTTCACCTAGACTCTAGTTCTACGTTTGCTATACGCTGAGTTTTGGCTCTAGAGTAAAAAGGGTCAACGAATTGTTCTTTGTTGGTGCCCTATTGGACTGCCAAACCCATAATCCTAGTCCATTACAAACTTTCGGATTAAGTTCAATTCGAAGGAACACACTTCCTTAAGTCCATACGGAGGTGAAAAACACACGAGGAACATAAGGTGTGAGCTCAAAGAATGGTCCCCTACCCCATACGGAGGTGAAAACCACACGAGGAATAGTTTCTCATTCACTTAAACAATATAAGAGTGGGGTTTTAGCTCATGTCATGAATGCAGTGCACAGTGGGTGAGGAAAAGCATAAAATAAAATACGGCCTATTATTTTATTTTAATGACCCAAAATTAAATATGTACACATAAAAACAAAAGGTTAGTATAATAATAAAAATAATTAAAACAAGATTAACAAAAATTTATTATTTACTGCAAAGACGAATAATTAATAAATTGGTGGCTAACTCTCATTTTTTTTAAAAAATTCCCCAATGGAGTCGCCAAGCACTCGAGACATTTCTATGCCCTGGCGATGGAGAGTGCAAATAGTACACCCCAGATGGTATAACTAGTCTCGAAAAGTAAGTGTTTATCCTCCATGAATCAGATTAAATACCAAATTGTAGAGTCGCCACCAATCTTTTAATTCGGTGAGATTGATCACCAAAATGTCATATTATTTTAATTAAAAAATTCCTAAGAATAATATTAAAATAATACAACTCGGGTCTGCTTACCAGAAAAATAAGTTCGAGAGTCGGTTACGTATGAGAAAGAATTAGCATTCCCACAACGCCCAATATTGGTACCGATATTTATTAATTAAATGTCTTTGCAGTAATTGATAAATTTTCTTTTTAGTCTTAATATAAATACTAAATATTTAACATAAATATTATTGACACTATTATAATATTTAATGTTGAAACTATATTATAAAATTATTCTAATATATAAAAGTATATTAATACTATAATTAGTCTTATAATAATAATTAGTGACTAAAATATAAAATAGTAACATTAATTAACCTACTTAAAAATAATATTGAAGCTGTATATTAATTATATATTTTAACCTAAATTAATTCGGGACTAAAATATACATTTTTAATACTTAAGGGACTAAATGCATAATTTTACCTATAACATATATATTAATATAATAAGGACTAAAATAAAAATAATTAAAATGCGAAATCAAAATTGAAATACACAAAAAACCTGATTTCGGGACCAAAATTAAAGATTTACAAAGTTGGAAGAACCACATACGAAATTTAGCCATTCCCTAATTACACTGAAGCCCCTCCCCAAAACGACGTAGTTTTGGGAGGGTATAAATATACCCCAACCGACCCTTTAAGGGAAAACTCTCTATTTCTCTCCTTTCTTCTCTCTCTTTAAATGAGATATGCTCTGACATCTCTCTAAAAGCCCTCGCCGGAGGGTAGCCGGTCACCGGTCGGCCGCCATGTTCCGCCGATCTCTGACGCCACCAACCACCACCCATTGTGATCAGAAATTACCCGAATACACCAAAATAAATCCCGAACCCTCCTAAAGCCTAATCCGGCAGCCTTTTATTCTAAAAACCCCTAAATCAACGTAGATCTAGGATTTTTAGCTTCGAAGTTCTACTTATCCAACGACGCGTGGAGGAGCGTAGATGTTCCGATGAAGGTAATATTCCCTCGACCTTCTCTCTATATTTTCTTGTGGCTTGGTTGTTGGGTTTCTTGTTTTTTTTCTTCATTGCAGGTGCATCCCTATTTATAGGGAGTTTCGATGCTCCCTTTGGACCGATTAAAAGACTGTACCCCGGTGAGTCAACGGAGCTACAATGGTGACTCACCCTAGGGGTGGTGAGTTATACGATGCTATTTGATCTTCTAGAACCTTCTGGAGAGCTCTGGAGAGTCGGCAACGTCGTGGCAGTGTCTGGTTGGATCTGCTGGAGGCGGTGGCCGAAATAGACACTAGGGTTACAATGATACCCTAGGGTTTCTGCTGGATGGCTTATGAACCATTGGATCTCCATTTGATCGTGCGATGGAGAGCTGTATGGCGTTGGAGTAGAGATGAAACCCTAACTGCTGATGGGGCTTCTCACGTGGCTCGCTGAATCTGGGTCTGGACAAGTTTGTGCTTGCATCTGACTCGGGCCCGGGCTTGGTTGTAATCGGGCCTGTGTGCCTTACTTTGTAACTGGGCCTTCGGGCTTTATAAATAATAATATTTATAATATAATATTATTATATATATAATAATGTATATATAATAATCGTCACTCGGACAAAAATGACCGTCGACAAGGTCCTTCCACCATGTCCTCATATCTGCAAATGGGGCGGCTCATATTTTGGCGTCGCTTTCTTCCGTCTCCGAGGATGATGAGTTTTGGGTCGAAGAGGCCCCACCCTCAGTTTCGTTACAAGCTGCTGAAGACTGAAGGCTCTCTAGGTCAGATTAGTTTCGACCTTTTTCTCTCAGTTGGGTCAAAGAAGGTTCCACGCCCGTTGTTTTTCAATTTCTTTTAAGTTTTAGTTAGTTGATAATACTTATTATCAAATGTCCAATGGACCTTTCTTATTACTAAATGATTATGTAAGTAATTTGTCTTATTCATAGAATCATTACTAAATATATTTTGTAATAAATATATATTATCTTTCATTCATTATTCTTTTAAAAAGATTTCAAAATATTTTCGTATCAGAAATTTTAACTTCGATAGATTGTATTTACTTAATTTATTATTATCAATCACAACATTAAGTTGATTTAAAGAGGAAATTATGATTCCTCATAACTTGAAATTAGACTTTCCTCACTTGTAATTAATTAATAAGAGTTATAAGTAAGAAATATTGACGAAACAAAGTTGTCCTCTAAATTGGACCATTTTCTATATAAATAATAGAACACAAATTAGTTAAGGTAAAGTATACAAATGGTTTGTCGATTATATGATATTATTTTATTATGTCCATCAATTATTAAAAATTACAAAATGATCACTCGATTATTCATTATGTTCCAAGCTCGTCCTTTTCTGTTAAATAATTGACAACAACCTAAATGTACGTCAACCTGTTGACTGAGATATGATAAAATATGATCTCATAATCTCAAACGACTATCATATCTCAATCAACATGTTAACGTCCAACTCATACGACCGTTAATTTTTTAATGGAAAATGACAAGTTTGGAATATAATGAATAGTTGAGTGATTATTTTGTAATTTTTAACAGTCGATGGTCTCAACAAAGCAACTCTCGGTACTCAGAGGACCATTTTATAACTTTTAATAGTCAATGAACTCAATAAAATAGTATCCTATAGTTGGATGACCATTTGTGTACTTCACCCATTAGTTAAATTATGTTTTTTAAAAGAAATAATAGCTCAAAAGAAATAACAATTCAAATAAGGATTCATGCTGAAATTAAAAGGCTTAATGGCCAAATAAGTGCCCAAACTATGCCTTTTGTGCCAAATAAGTGCCTACGTTTTTTTTTGCCCATCCAGGTGCCTAACGTTACAAAACGTTAGCACTTTAAGGGATTGGGCCGTCAACACCGTTAGTTTTCACCGTTAAGTGACACGTGTCACAACCTGTAATTTTGAAATTTATTTTTCATAAAATATTATTATATTTATAAAAAAACCCTAACTTTTCTTATATTATAAAACAACCCCAAAATCCTAAATCTTAACCTTAATCCGCCATCGCCACCCTCTCCGGCCATGACCACCGTCGCTGACGTAGTCCTTGCCATCATCCTAATTATATGTCGCCGTAGTTGTCACCGATTCACCATCGGAATCAAGTGAGATCGTAATTTTCATCCAAGGGTTCACGGGATTTAAAACATCGATTTATCGTCGATCAGTCGTCAATCGATCACAATTTCATAGGGGTTTTGGTCATCGAGGGAGGGGAGGTTGGGTGGAGTTTCTTTGACAGCAAAGGACGGCGGTAGGCAAGGGTTGGGTTGAAATGAAGGTTTTTAAAGTTTAGGGGTTATTTCAAAATTTGTGTATTTTTTTTAAATATATAATTTTATATAAAAATTTTAAAATTACCGGGTTGTGGCATGTGTCACTTAACAGAAAAATTAACACCGTAAACAGTCTGAACGCCTAAAAGGGTAACGTTTGTAACGTTAGGCACCCAGATAGACAAAAAAACGTAGGCACTTATTTGGCCATTAAGCCAAATTAATATTTTCACTATATTAAGAGATAAACTGTGCTAATTAAAGCGACAAACTATTCACAACAACATTAAACTAGTCGGCAAAGCTAGTCTAAACATCAGCAATTGTGAAATCTAAGTCTATGCTTTTTTTTATTATATGTACGAATCTGAATTTTATATTTGTATACAATTTAAGTGTACAATCATATTTAAATTTTAATAATACACGCATGATAAAAATCCAAATCCAAATCTAAATCCAAAATTAACATTTAAATGTATGATTTCTAAATATATAGAATATGAATCGGACTACTTTCTATCTAAATACACTAAGAGCCAAAATTAGATGCCTTTTTATGAGTATATAATTGTGAATTTAGAATTTATTAAATAGTTTCAGTTGTAGAAAGAAATATTTTTTTAAAGATTTTGATTTTGAATAACTGTATTTAAAGAATATATATACACATTATCAAAAAAAATTTAAAACAAATATCACTTAGTAATTATGTCAAATTATTAAACAAAAATTTAAAAAAAATGTCTAGCTTATTATAATTTTTTTTTTTTTAAAAAAGTTCACAAATTGACTCGTAATTAATGAAAAAAAACTCTAACCATAGAGATGGAACAAAAACTTGTCACTGAGTGAGTAGCACTACCGACACCAAATGTAGAAACTATTCATTCTTTGATGCCTATAACAGCTTTGCTAATTGAAAGGAAATTTTGATATTTTCTGGACGATAGGATAGGATAGGAGTTGGAGGTGATATTCTCGACTCGAATAACAACATTATAAACCCTAAATAAAAAAATCTAACATAATTTCAACCTTTTTCTCCTTTTGTTTGTATTTTTGAAAACAAATAATTTCTCATGTTTATTTGTATTTTTAATATATTCAACAAATAGAATTGCTTTTTGAATTGTTTGAATATTTTTATTTTAAAATAACACTAGTAGGATATATTATTCATGAGTACCGACTAAATAACAGTGAATACAACAATCGAGTTATCTTCGTTCTTCTCTCTTTTCAATTATAGATTAAGATTATATTTAAAAAATAGATTAAGATTATTTTTCTTTCAAAATTAAAGAATATGAAGATTATTAAAGAAGAGATATTTATTACCTCCCTTTGGATATCATGTTACAAGACCATTACAATTGATATAAAAGCCAAAAAACATTTAAAAAAAAAAGTTACAGACATGTACAAAAAACATGTTTTCCCTAGTTTCAACATAAACAACATGCAGTGCTGCTCAATCTTGTTGGATTTGAATCCATATCTCTTGGGAATACAGATTTGACAATATCAAACCTTTCATCTACAAACTACAGAAAACATTGATCATATCATTTGATACTAACTTTGGGTCATAAACATCACCACCTTCGGACAAAAATCTTTTGGATGAATTAGTTGTCAAAAGTTTCTTTTCATGTCCGTGTTCCCACCCATAAAACCAGAATACACTATATATCTAAACACGTTCAAATTCGTATCCAGTTAAATACTACAATAACAACAATATCAATTGATGTAATATTCAATCTAGTTTCAAAATAGATTCCCCCCAAAAAAAATCTAGTTTCGAATACCAACAGCTACTACATGAAAACAGCTGATTAACTAGCACGCTTACACTGACGTCCTTTAACTCATGTTGTCATGTTCTTTGCTTTGTCCTTTGACAAGTAAGCCATAATTTAACACGCTTTCTGTTGCTATATGTTTGTTATGTTGTTTATAACGATAATCATGAAACCCAAATATAATTAAAAAAAAAACAATGTCCTCAACATTGTAATAAACCCTAATCGAAAGCCATAGCTCAGAGCTTGTTCTTGAGGAAATCATGATGGGACCACAGAGGAGCTTGTCTTCACCATTCGAAAATCTTCTGTTTAATCGAGGTTTTTGTTTGGATGTGTCTGAAGGGATCATTTCTTCGTTTCTTAGCGATGTTTATTGTTGGTGCTTTAGGTAGGCTTCATGTTCTATCTACATCTGACAACACAGCTAAGAGATATGTCCAAGCCGCAATTTCTTGTCCTTTTCCATCCAGTTTTCTGGATGAAAATTGCATTAACGTTGAAATCCAAGAGTACAAAAAGATGGCCATACACGTTTGTCATCATAGAAATAAAGATTAAAAAACATTGGATATTTTCAATAAATTCCATGGTACATATCTACCAGTGTTAGTTTGCATAAACTAGGGTTTGATTTTATAATATTCTGTAGACTGATAAAACCTATAGTGCGAGGAGGATCGAATATATTCTAGCAACGTATGAATTTCATGAAGTCAAAGTCCGACATGAAGCGTACAACGTGGACGGTTTTATCATTTTATTTTTAATTTTATTTAATGTGAAACATTGGACAGAATCTCTTAAAGTTTACGCCATCAAATTCAACTATCCCACTTTGTTAATCATTCATTAACTTTTTCCAAAAATACAAAACGAAGAATTAATTCCAACGTTGAAAAGAGAGGAATCAAATCACTACTACTTAATTAATTGTTTAAAATGAAACACTTGGTTCGCCCTTATAGTTTTTTCTTTAAACTATTTTACTATTTTCATACGTTTTTTCCTTTATTAATGTTCATGAAAAATCTTTATTTGCATATTTATATATAATTTTTCATGAAATTTTTTCCAAAAAATTGTCCATCAACGACAAATTCTAGTGCTTATAACAAGATTATTTTCGAGTCCAATTCTATTGATATTTGTAAATATTGAATTTTTAATATATTTAAATGATTTGAAGAAATTATAAATAAGTTTAGAATTATTGTCAGATACACTAATTAACACTGAACTAACAATATTTTTCAAATGATGTTTTAATATTTTCATGTCTTATTTAAGACTTGATTATTTTGTTCATCAACTCTTGATTTAAACATTCGGGTTGATTTTTCATATTGATATTCATTCTCACATACATCCAGTAGACGCAACTACTCAAAGCCAATACTTTTAGAGAGAATAACATTTTCTCTTAATAATATATATTTTATAATTTAAACTCATTGCATAGCCATATTAGTCAAAGAGAGTATTATTTTTCTTTGAGGTCTCGGGTTTGAGTAGCTAAATCTGTAAGGTGTGTGTGTTGTTAATGGTTAAAAAATTATAAACAAATATTACCTTATAATCACTTTAAACTATTAAAAATATATAAATAATTATTTATATTTTAGGTTAATTTACTTTATTTTATGACAGAGAAATTTATTTTAAAAAGTTAACATTTATATCAACATATTATTTTTCTCAAATTTAAATTTTATCTCCATAATAAATTTAGAAAATTAACAAACGCATGCATGTTAGTATATTTATTAATTTTAGCTATTTATAAAATATGAAATAAATAAAACATGTATACATATGTGGCCTACAAGAAATAAACATTAGAACATATATTATCAATTTTGAGTATTTTTCATCATAAATCAATGAAAACAACTACTCAATTCTAATAAAGTATATAAATGTAAACTAACTTAAAGTTTAACGATATTTTAAATATGTAGCTTAATGATAAGGTTGAAATCAGGGGTGGAGATAGGAGGTCATGCTCCTAGATATGGCAATTGTTCACTATTATTCCTTTAAATTTTAATGCTTTTAGCTAAGACATGGTTAAGTTGTATTTTGCTCGCTTTATAAATGATAAAATTTCAATTGGTCATCTTATAAATGATAAAATTCAAATAAATTATTTAAAATTTATAAATTTATAAGCTAAAATAGTGATAGAATTATATTATAATCCTTTTAAATTAAAATTTACTTCAAGTCCTTCCAAGGAAAAAAATCCTAATTTTATTTATGGTTGAAGTCTTAGGAGTTTTTAGGCCATACCTTCAAGTCCCAGCTCTTATAAAAAATGATCGGGTTCTCTCCAAAAAAGTTTTTGTAACCCCTTAGACCTGAACTGGACGTTATAATCGAATTTTGGAGATCACAATAATTTGAATCAACAGAAACTAAGAAATTTTTACATTATAGCATGTGTTATTAGAATACCGATGTTAATCCGTAAACAGAACTAAGAGTTCATAAAATATTACATAATTCGAGATTAAAGTCCAAAACAAATAAAAATAAGATATCCCAAAATCCCAATATAAATATATTTAATGTTAATAAAAATTTAAAATTATAGTCTAAAAATGTTCATACGATATCTATGAATACATACTACTAGTCAATCCTCTAACTACCAATCGGAACCTTAAAGGTCTAAGGAATCTGAAAAGACAAAAACTAAAAAGTGAGCTATAAGTCTCATTGCGTCCTCTAAGTGCAACAGATATCGATAATAAATCATAAATACTTCACAGAAGACATAAAGTGTAAATAAAAAAAATCAGGTAACGGTAAATTAATAGTTCATTACCGAAATATTATAACAAAAAATTTCACAATCTTACCTTTCATTGCGGGTAAACATGAAGGGGATGTTATCCTCCGAAGAGGTATCTGAATCAGAATACAAAAATCAAGATGAGGATAATGCCCTACGAAGATATTTCCCTCGGAAGAGGATCCCAAACAGAAACATGATAATGATGTTGTCCTCTATAGAGGATCTTAGACAAATGACAGAAATACATCAATCTACATATTAAAAATAATAAAACAATAATCAGAAACCAGACATGTCATTGATAAACATAAGGAGAATACGAACATGCTCACAAAAAGAATTATACATTATAATAGCGTAAAATTAATAAGACGTCATGAGGACACATCTATATAAACTAAATAATATCAGTTAAGCCTTATGTTTCTCACGATCGGTAATACTAGATCCTGTAAATTGGGACTTGTATCTCGAGTCGAACGTGCAAAATCAAACTAAGCTAAGCGAGAGTGATCATGATTGTGATCTATTGGAGAGCAATGCAAAGACATATGATCATCGTGGTTATTTCAAAGTGAAACATTGTAGAGATACATTATTTTGCAAAACTTGAAACTTCACTTCCTCCCAAAACAATAACGCTAGAGGTAATGGATAAACCGAGATCACCAAACAAACAAGAATGATGTGTTGGAACAATTGGTACCAATGGTGAGACACACAACAACACAGACGACGACGAAATGAGGAAAAGCTGAAAAAACAATGAAAATGGTATGAAATAGTTGAAATCATACACAACAAAAGGAAGAATAAGAGAGAAAAAAAGATAAGAAAAAATGGGTTTTTTCTAAAACCTTAAAAATTAGTGGGTTAATTACAACCTTAGTTTCCATACTTTTATAAGTTTGCAAACGTACGTCGAAATTCCTTAACTTTTTAATTTAGCCCCAAAATTTTGAGGTGTTACAACTTCCCCTTAAGAATATTTCGCCTCGAAATTTTACGTGGCGAAAAAAGATTAGGGAATTGATCTTCCATAGACTTCTAGTCTCCCAAGTGGCCTCTGTAAGGTTACTGTTACTCCGTAGTACCTTAACCATTGGTATACGTTAGCTTCTTCGAACTTGATCTTCATAGGAAAGAATTTAAATAGGATCCACCTTATAACTAAGATCTGGTCTCAGCTTAACGTCCTCAACATGAATGATATGAGACATATCAAGACGATTGTGTCTCAACATAGAAACATGAAAGACATTGTGAATGCGCTCAAACTCAGGCGGTAACTCAAGTTGATAAACAATTGTTCCAACTCGACATAGAATCTGATAAGTTCCAATAAATCTCGAGCTTAGTTTGCCTTTACGTCTAAGTCGAAGTAACTTCCTAAATGATATATCTTCAGAAAGGCTCAGTCACCCAAATTGAACTCAATATTTCGTTTCTTCATATCAACATAAGATTTTTGTCCATAAAAAATAACCTTAAGCCTGTCTCGAATCAACATAATTGTATATCCTATCTCCTAAATAAGATTGTATCTCATAACCCTCTTCTCATATAACTCACTCTAACATAACAGAGTATGACACCTACAACCATGCAAGGCCTTGTATGGTGTCATCTGAATGTTGGTCTGATAATTGTTATTGTAGACAAACTCAACCAACGACAAATGATTCTCCAAACTGTCCAAAAATATACAATGCATTCTCCCAACATATTCTCCATAATCTGAATAACCCACTTAGAATGACTATCAGACTAAAACTTAATTGATTACCCAAAGCATCATGAAGAGACTTTTAGAATCGTGACATACACATTAGATCTCAATCATAAATAATAGACAAATGAACCATATGAAGGTGAACAATCTTCAAAATACACATCCAAGCCAATCTATCTAGAGTATAACTTTGAAAAATTAAGATAAAACAATTGAAAGACCAAATGAAGATGATAAAAAGGGAAAGAGAACTTTTATGGGATCGATGCCTCGGAGCTGAGTTTGGTCTTGAACTTAATCCTCCTCTGTAAGTTCAAAGTCTCGGACTTTGAAAATTTTGATGGGAACAATTTTCCTTTACTCACATCAAAATATTATTTAAAAAATTGACGGGACATGTAGGGAATGATCAACTCCTGATTAACTACTTTCAAGAAAGTTTAACGGGTTCGACGATCCGTTGGTATAATCAACTAAATCAAGATCACATCAGGTTGTGGAGAGATTTTTTCAGGTCTTTCTTAGAACAATACAAACACATGAACAATATGAGACCCAACCAAGTAATGTTACAAAGCATGGAGAAAAAAGCTAATAAAAATTTCCGACAGTATGCGCAGCGGTGGAAATATGTAATTGTGCAGGTTCATCATCCTTTGGACAAAAAGGAGGCGAGAAAACTCTTTGTGCATACTCTGAGGGTGCGTTTGGTTCACGAAATGTAAGATTACAAGTGAGAATAAAAGATTACCAAGGAATAGGATTACTGGGAATGTTGTATTTTGTGTTTGGTTGGTTTAGTAAGAATGTAAAATTACATAGTTTGGTTAAAGGAATAAATGATTATTGGAATGTATATTTTACCAAATTGTCCTTATTATATATTTGTTTTTTAACAATTTGAATTCTATTATAATATTACTATAATTAATTTATATATTTTCTTTAAAAAATTTAAATTCATAAAATTTATATTTTTTTACAAAATTAAAAAGATAAATATGTTTAATGAAATGGTAAAATTTTATTTTAACCTCTGAACTTTATATAAAATTCTAATTATGGAATTTTTTTGTAAATCTAAAATAGTTTAAGGATAAATTTGTAATTTAACCTTCGTATAATTTTTATTATTCAACGACAGAAGAAGGATAATTTTGAAAAAAAAATTAAGGGCATTTTAATCAAAAACGCTAGTAATCCAACAATACCTATGGGAAGGGTAATCACACTCCCGATAATATACCCAAAAAAATCTACTGTTGGTAATAAAACATTACCGGAAATAAGATTACCGGCCAACCAAACGGGGGAATGAGGATTCCATTCCCCCGGTAATAAAAAATGCCGTGAACCAAACGACCCCTGAAGGTTCTTTTCTTCGAGCACCTGGTCGTAATCACCCCCGGAACTTCACTGATGTTGCGATGGTCAATGAAATAGTAGAGGTAGCCATCAACAAGGAAAGATCGGGGGAAGTGAATTCCATAGGAGGCCAGCCCCAAAGCATAAAGAATGAGAGGTCAAAAATGGAAACGCCTATGGTTCTGGGAAATGCGTCATTGTCACTTGGTCGAAGTCAATAACGGTCGCATCATCAAATCCTCCAAGGCAATTTGACTCTATTCTCATTACGTATCGAAGCTGTTTCAACAACTCTATGATACACTTTCGGGACTTCCACCATCGGTGTCAATTCTTTAGGCGGTGTAAACAGGAGAGTTGTGTCCCAGGCTCAGCCATTGATTGTATTAGATTTCAATGTGTTGTGTAGTCTAGCAGCGCATTTGCTTCTAATGAAGATGCTTCTACCTTTGGAACTGTTGTTTTGCGTGGCCAATATGATGAATCCGATTCTCCTCGAACTCCAAGATCCAGGCTAGGAAGTCAAGAGAGAACTTCAAGTGCATCAGTTGAAGATAGCGCATCTAATCTTGCAGAGATGGTATTTGTTATTTATCTTTCTTGATCGATGCTGAGAATTTTATATGGATTTGGTTATTTATTTTGGCTGTGTTACTATCACTGAGTATTATTATTTTTCTCCAGAAATTCCCGCTCCAGAAGTTCCCGTGACTATTTGGATGCACAAAGATTATTTCCAAGGGTACGTCAACCGAGTGATGATGAAGAAAATGCCAAGATAATATCATCATCTGTCCCACTATCAATTATACTTCAAGTTCACTACTCGATATTTACTTTAGGTTTCCCTGCCAGTTAGCTTGACAGTAACTTTGAAATATTCATGTTTAAGTAGCTTGAAATTATTTCCTCATTTACTTGCAATTCTTTGGGCGTTGAAAAGTTGGAATTAGGATTCCTCTTTGGCCTTTGATTCCAAGGTACATTGTTGGAAATGAGAATAAATAAATTTGAGGGATTAAGAGATAGTAGATTTATGGATGTTATCTTTCAAGTTGAATTGGTTCTTAGAACAACCAACTTTTAGTGGAGGAATACAATAGTTTGCTATTTATTAGTTGAATTTATTTGTTTTAGATAATAATTGAATTTTTTATTTTAAGTGGTGGATATGGCTTTAAAATCAGATGGTCCGAACTATTGTTTTAGGTACTAATTGAATTAGTGGTAGATATGGCTTTAAACAGTTCATTGAATTTATTAGTTGAATTTATTTGTTTTAGGGTATTCCGATGGTCCGAACTATTGTTTTTGGTAAATTTCAAATGTTTGTTATTTTAGGGCTCTTGATCCTTGGTTAACAATGAATTGGTTCACATTTTCGGTGTTTCTGAACTTGTTTGGGATTTCTGAACTTGTTTCAATTATGCTTTAAAAGAAATTGCAAATGTTGATAATTACATGGCTTGACACTTTCAGTTTGTTTAATAATTACAATTTCGACTGAGATGCAATATTATCTTTGCAGTTCGTCCTCGGCTCGTGCTGGCAAACCTACTGTTAAATGGACTGAGGTCTTTCTTCACTCCATTACAATCTTATTGTTTCTCCTCTTTTCTTTCGATTTTGATTACGTTGTTTGTGTTGAATACTTTTGGATATCTACCATGATCACTAATTTTATTATTGTGTCTCAAGTACAAAGCTGGTTCGCATCCGGATAGCATAAAAGCACATGGCGGATGTCGAAACGATTTTTTTCTTAAAAGTAAAAAAGTGAGATTTTGAAAACCACATTAATTCTTAATCATCATCTTTTTAATTTAAAAACAAATGCGATTCCAAAGACCTCTCGTTTCGAAAAATTTTGGATTTCCTTTACGATCGAAAAAATATGGTTCGAAGAGTAGCCACCAATCTTTGATTAGGGTGTGATTGGGCACCCAAAAACGTTTTGTCATTTTAAATAAAAATTAATTTTAATTAAAACAACAAATTGAGGTATGCGTTACCAAAGAATGAGTTCGGGAGTCGATTACGTGTGGGGAAGGATTAACACCCCCACAACGCCCTAAATCGGTACCTAGTCGATTAATTAACGTCTTTGCAGTGAACTTTACAAATTCGAACTTAATTTGATTTTTGATCCCATAAAACAAAGATGTGAATTTAATAATATTCAAAAGCACCCAAATAAATTAAATTAAAATTACCAAATCATTTTAGAAAGATAAAGAATGTTTGATTATTTACAAATATCGAGACCACATCTTAAAAGCTATAACAACTTTTTCTCGATAAATTTAAATAGCCGAACATTTCTTTTTCTTCCATTCCCAAATTTTAAAGTGATAGATCAATTTTTAGGCATCACTAATGGGATACACTTTTATTTTAAAATCATTAAAAACGGACCTCAAATGCGTTATGACAACCCACTTAAAACAATTTAAAATTAAAAGTTTATTACCCTTAATCCAATTATGTAATATGTCGAGTTATGCAAATTAGGATATCATACAAGTTGTGCAGAAAATAATGTCATGTAATCTTGGAAGTGAGACAATTGCATACTCAAACGTACATAAACATGCAAATATGCAAGAACAAATATTTACAGCTAGTTTGAAAAATCCCTATACATATCTCAGAAATTATAAATGAGTTAGCAATAAATCTACATAATTTTATACTAATTAAAATAATAAGGAGATTTGAAAAAGGGAGAAAATGCATTATATACGAACTACCATAATAAAATAAATAAATAAAGTTTTAAAAAAAGGTATAGTACGTATATACATGTAACTATACATTATAAATTATGCACAAGATATATGCTAATATACTAATGCACAAATATATATATATATATATATATATATATATATATATATATATATATATATATATATATATATATGTATACACTAATGCACGTATAAAAACAACCTAATATATATGCTAATACACTGATGGATTAAAATACAATTTAACCCAACTTTAAGTACTGGAACCAGAATAAACCCCAAACATGTATAGGATTAAAATGGAAATAATTCAAAATAGCAAACCAAATGTATAAACAAACAAAAAATTAACTTGACTACAACCAGGGATTAAAGTAAAACGCGCGTAAAATATGAAGATAAAATTAAAAGTTTAGGAAACATGGATTTTGAGGACTAAAATGAACTAAATCAAAAACATGCGTGACTACCTAGAAAATAAACCCAATCTCATAAAAATGAAATACATTGTACCCCAATTAAACTATGTCGTTTCATCCAAAAAAAAGCTAAATATTAAATTAAGCTCTAACCTAATAACTAAACCCCCACCTCTGCTAACTTTAACCCCCAGCGTCGTTTTCCTCTTTCTCTCCTCTCTACTTCTCTTCCATTCGACCGAGCGGCTGCCATGGCCACCTTCACCACTCTCTACTCTTTCATTCTTTCCTCCGTTCGAGAGCTACAACGCTCAAGATCACTACCTACACGGCTGCTGATCGGAAAATAACGCACCAGTCCAATCTCCAGCCACTACTAACAACCACCACGACCATCTAAACCTAACTCAATCGATCCCAAACACCTCACTCTTATCACCGACGCCATTAAATCACAACCTTTTTGGGACTTACCACTCTCAAATGACCACAAAAATTCTACAAACCCAAACACTCCTAATCGAGGGACTATAAGAGCATTACCTTTGACTGTTGAAGACGTTCCCTCCTTCAAACGAAAGCACGAAAGCTGTTACTGCAAAGATATGCGAGGTTTCCTCCGGATTCTTCTTTTTGTTTGAATCTCCTTCTAAATTCTTCTCTTTTTATTCGGAACCTTGCTATTACTGTTTGGGATTGTTTATTTTCGTTGATGGTTTCTATTGGGAAAATAGGTTTTTCATTTTTTTCATTTTGAATGGATGTAAAAACGAAAGAAACATGCTTATGGAATCATTGGGAAAAACAACTTAAAACTTCGAATTCTAGCCTTGTATTTTCCGTGTAAAAATGAGAACGATTACACTGTTTTTTTGTTACAATGAATCCCCTCAAAAATGCAATGCTCTCCCTGTTCTGTGCTCTTGTCTTTTCTGGTTAATCCCTGGTAGCCCCCCTCTCTTGATGGTGATAACTCTCTATCTTTTTTTAGTGGTTAATTTCTTTTAGTTTTCAGTAGTTAATCCCTTCACTATCTGATTATATTAACTGCTAAAAACCAACCCCAATTTCTCTCCACTTTTGCATGCAATTGCTATCCATTGGGCTTGAGATGGGCCTACAGCTGGTTTGGGCTCATTTGGGCTCTCATTGCTTCGGGTCTGCTACGACTTGGTCCCGGACAAATCGAGTATCTACAGTTGCCCCTCTTTGCTCATTGTCATATAATGAGAATAGGGTAAAGATCAAAAGATGATCGAATTTGTCCGGTCACGAAAACCTCAAGAAGTTAATCCACTCTACTATTACTTCGGGATAAATTAGACTTGAAAAATCTTCAAGTGACTGGTCCGCTCCCTCTTGTTCAGGGATTAAGGAACTCGAACAATCTTCTAAAAACGGGTTCACTCCCTATTACTTCAGAGAGTAGAACTCGAATAATCTTCTGCTTACGGGTTCGCTCCCTCTTGCTTCAGGGAGTAGAACTCGAATAATCTTCTGCCTACGGGTTCGCTCCCTCTTACTTCAGGGAGTATAACTCGAACAATCTTCTGTCTACGGGTTTGTTCCCTCTTACTTCAGGGAGTAGAACTCGGACAATCTTCTGCCTACAGTCCTCCCTCTTGCTTAAGGGAGTAAAACTCGAACAATCTTCGGGTGTGATTCTGCTACACTATTCTCCCATGAAGGCTCAACTTCGAAGGTTAAATCTGAAAATCAAACGTTGCCACTCATTAATGTATGCTTGAAGATTTGAAAAACATTATACTCGAAAAATTTAAAATTTAAGAGAATCTTTGAGAATCTATTTTTTTTGCGGGAGCTTGTCTCGCAACAACTAGATATGAGAATCTTCATGGACTCGACTGCCATCTGAACTTCTCTCTTCCTGGGACTTTGAATTGGTTAATGACTCCTCGTGCACATTTCCTTTTAATCAATTGATCTGATTCTTTGTACTCGAGAACCTTCGCTTTCCTCTCACATCTAATGATCTGATGTTTGCTCTAACACTCTTCCGAGAATGCTTAAAATTGCCCGAAGGACATATCATCTTGCTCAAAAGACTTACAAATGACCCAAAGGATTTCATCATCATGCTCGAAAGACTTATTGATGGATTTGCTTCACTACTCTTTGGTGAAGGCTTACAAATTACCCGAAGATTTAATCATCATGCTCGAAAGACTTACTGATGGCCCGAAGGACTTCATCATGATGCTCGAAAGACTTACTGATGGGTTTGTTTCACTACTCTTCCGTGAAGGCTTATAAATTACCCGAAGGATTTAATCATTATACTCTAAAGACTTACTGATGGCACTAAGGATTTAAGCATCATGCTCGAAAGACTTATTGATGGCCCGAAGGACTTACTAAGTGCGAAATTTTTGAAAAAATCCTTCTTAGT